CCCTGATGTCTATGGTTTCATTGTTTGACATGAGCTGCGGAGTGCTGGGCGAGGAACCTGCTTGTGCTGGTTGGGAGGGCTGGGAAGTTGGAACCCAGTGGGGCAGAGGGGTCTGAGACCCGCGCCAGGAGGTTGGGTGCGGCTGGGGCTCACTAGAAGCGCGTGGGGAAGTGACATTTCGGGCTTGAAGGACTGGGAACTGTTTGAAGCGCAGCGGCTGGTTCTCAGGAGCGGTGGGGCTTTTAGAAACCGTTATTTGAGGCCGATGATGGGAAATGTTGTGGGGGTGGCTGGATGCTTTTATTTTGAGGAAAAATGCCTTCTGGGAGCTGTTATTTAGGGCATCACCAGCTGCTATTCTGGGGTGGGTGGCAAGAGCTGTTATTTCTGCAGAGAGGGAGAGGGCTGATGTCGCCCCACATTGTAGGGTGCCTCCCACTTGGGGGGCTCATAATCACACTGAGGAGAAAGTGGAAGAAGGCAGAGAGGTGGGATTTAGCGTGAGGTGGAGGGGAGTAGGGGGAGTCGCTTCCAGGAAGTTGCTGCTGCCCCCTCCCCTCCCTCGGCTTCTCTTTCTGTGTTTCCGTGAAGGAAAAAGTCCCGCTGCAGCTCGGCACCGGATCCTGGAATCCCCAACCCTTCTCCTTAACGCTCTGGACCCAGAAAGTCTGTCCCCGCCTGCCACTGGGAGAGTTGGGCAGAGCGCGGGAGCTACACCTGTGTAGCGCTTGCTACTCGCGGAGGTGCGCGCAGCCCCTCTGCCCCCCACCGCTGGGCACGCAGCCCTCAGCCTCCGGGGCCGCTCCAGCCGCCCTCGCTCCTCTCACACACCCGAACTCCTCTTTGCGCTAGGGTCTCAGCTCAAGGGCGCATTCTTCTAGGGCCGGGGGCAGCATCTCACATCTCAGATATCAGGGCTAAAGAAGCACTCAGCCCCTTCACGAAAACATTAAAAACCGTATCCCATCACTGGAAGGCTGGGATTTCTATTTGGGGCTCCAGATGCGACGAGTGAGGCACAGAACCTTAAATTCCTTCTACTCCTGTGGCAGGGGACGCTGGACTGGAAAGATGAAGCAGTAACGGTGGAGGCGTGCGTGTCCTCGTGACTCTCACGGGTTTTGTCTTGGCTTGAGAAGGTGAAGACGCTGAGCTGGTTTCAGAGCGCTGCCAGCTCCCTAGGAACCATGGCAGGGCAGATAGAGACTCCCCACCTCACTCTATTCCATTAACTTCTCTCTTAAATTCCAAAATTTATTTTTTTAAATCTGATTTAAGGATTATATGTAGTGTGATCTATCTTATCTATCTACCTACCTACCAATCATCTATTTATCTATCATCTATCTGTGATTTTCTATGCTTAATCCAAGCAATCAGCATTTTCTCCTTCCCCATAAAGTTGAAAAACTGTAATTTGTAGTCGTAGCCCTTTTATTAACATCTCATGTTGGATTCATTATGTTAGAAGGCCAGAGGATTATAACGACATTAGCAGTCCTTTTTTAAACTGTCTTATTCCACCGGAAGGGGCATCCTGGTTTGAATTTAAAGAGTGATAGTAATAGCAATATTCATTCTTTCGTGTTCCTATCATGTTTGTTTGTTTGTTTGTTTGTTTGTTTGTTTTCTCTCCTGGTGTGATGGGGTAAGGGGCCTATGTGGAGATGGAAACGAGTAGGAACTCTTGGTTAGAGATTGGGAAGAGATGAAGTCTCAGGATGATGCTGAATGGGAACATGGGCCAAGACTGTATGGCGAGGAAGAAGAGGCAGAAGGATATGAAGGCAAGACCAGGAAATAGCGCTGGTCTCCTAAGGTGTTGTAAGTGGGGCTTGAATCTTGTGGAAGACAGACTGGCTGATTTTGTAAACTTACCATCCACGGGTTGTATTCTTACTCCAACTAGTCGAACACACAGCGAAACTTCGGCTACAGTGAGATGGGGGTGGTAGTGGTCTAAGCAAAAATGAATACTACCTTACCACCCACTGCTCTGAAGACAGTAAAAATAAAGGTGTGTCTGCTCTTTGGAGCACATTTAATAAGGTGTCACTATTTTACATAATTAGAAATAAAGTCTTATTAATATATACAACTTCATTTCATTCATCCTTTCTCCTCCCAACAGTTTTCTATTTTTCCATTAGTATCATCCCAGACCTTTATTTGTTTTTCTCTAAAATTTGTTGTTCTCTTCTTTTTGTTTCTACATGATAGCGTTAAAGTAGAACAAGAATATATCGATATTTATAACAGCAGTTTATTTAAAGATTCAGATTGGAGTTAAGTTTGTTTTTGATTCTTTATTTCTGGAGGGACCGTGGAAGATCAGAGGCAGAAAGATTTAATGATGCACTGAATCCATTAATAACTTGCTTGCATATTCTATGCTTCTCCAACCTATGGATGCTTAGTTATTTCCCAGACTGTAGTGTATGTATACGCTATATATGAGTATAACATAATGCTCCCATTATGTGAGAAAAAGATTTCATGGCAGCTATAAATAAATGTGAGTTTACATTCATAATTAGTATTCCAGTCATTTTTAAAATTTAACTTTGATAGACATAACTAAGCAGAATTGAACAGAAAATCATACATCTAGAATCTTAGATTGATATGAAATGAATTAAAATATGTTGGATAAAAGACGATAAGAGGAAAATTTACTCTTTAGCCTGAAGTCTAAGATATAATAAATATATCTTTTGTTTTTGTATTACATCATTAGGCATAAACTATATGTGGAAGAAATCTTTGAACTATAGTATAATACACAAAATTTCTTTATTATAAAATAATTTAGAGTGTATTTAGTGAGAAACTAATCTAAGATCAATCAAGCAGGACAAATGTATAACAAGTGAAATTTTTAATATATTTAATAAGTAAAGGGAGCATGCCCACTGTTATGAGTACTGGAGGTGGCCCTGAACTTATTCAGTAACTGCCACTTTTTCTGTCTGAAGATATATTTGTAAACAAGCATTATTTGACAAGTGCTTTTCGCAGCAGGGATTCTTGGCCAATTACTGTTGAACAGCTCTGCATTGAAAATGATTCACCCGCAGTGAATCAAGCTTAATTCATTGAAGCTACAGTCAGTAATGTCCCAGTAAAGTGCTTCTGACAGTTGTCAGCAGTTTGTATTTGAAAAGTCCAGTTTCTTGTCTCTGAATGTTTTGTATATTTGAGAAAGTGGGATAGAGGGTCCCTAGGGGAAAAATAAAAACCATAGGGGAAAAAACTGGGGGCTAAGTTGTTTGAAAAACAATCTTTTTTTTTTTTTTGAAAAACAGTCATACAATTGCAGATCTTTTCAATGGAAAGAAAGAAAAGGAAGAACGTTTGTTTTAGGGTTTTTCTTGGTTTATAATAGGACCAGGCCCATAAAACAGATTGGACGACATAATAGATTTGTAAAACTAAATGGCTTTGTTTTGTGGCCTTGTCATCCTGTTGTAATTCATTTCCTTTTAGATGAAGTGGCGGGACCCCACAGAAAAAGGATAGTAAAATCATTTCCTCTCCAGGACGTTAGTGAACAAAAAAAGGGAGCCATTACCCCTATTTGAATCATAGATTGTTGGAAATAGAAGGGACCAGGAAGAGTTTGGGTTTTTGCTTTTATAAACGGTGAAAGAGGGGCAGAAGGTCGGGTCTTGAAAATTTAAGCTTTTTTTTTTTTTTCTTTTTTGAGGTAGACATATCTTCTTGGGTGTCAGGATTTCATTTCCTCATAAAGACAGAGAAGAGGATGGACAATTCCTGCATTTACCACGGAAATTTCTCCTTTGATTGATTGTAAATATTCTTGTAATATCGCCACTTGTAAATACTATTAATTCTTCATTTTGATCGACATAGGATATAATTGGTATAGGAAAAGGGTTTATTTTTTATACTTAGAAATGCACTACTTAGGATGTTTTATAGTATTAATATTCTGTTCTACAAAATGTGACCAGAGTACTTCTACATAAAATATCAAAATGAGATAACATAACTATTTATAGACAAACATTCCCAAGCTCTTTAATTAAATCTTAGACTTCATAAAATATTACTACTGTTGAAAAAATAACTATACTATAGTTATTTTCACTACATTGTTGTTAATTGACTTGACCACTTGAATCTCCTTTGGAGTACTTTTTTATGTATTTGCTCGAATGACTAATTTCTCTTTCATTTCTACTTTTGACTGTAAAAATAGAGTATAATGTTCAAGATTATCTAACTACATCTATTTTTCCTTTTATGAATCAAACTTAATGTTCTTTTTTAAAAAGGAAAATATGGTTATATCTTAAAGAACTACTGCAAAAAGTGATGATGACTCTTTTTAGTTTATTTTTCAATTTAAATTAGCAGATATATTCCATTTTACTACTGAATAGTTTGAATTTAAGTTAGCAGAGGTACCTAATTATTCACAGGTGAATATGGCACTTTTAACAGTCTTAAAATAGTTTAACAATTGTTTTCATAAAGCTTTCATAAAGCATGAATTAACTGAAATTTGAATAGTCAGACTTGCTTATATAGCATTAAAAAGTCATTGCAATGTTTATCTTTTTTTTTCTTTTCAGAAAGAGCAAATTTTGACTAAAAGCAATATGAGAGCTAAAAATGTAAATTGTTACCTGAGAGACTCAGAATGATTCTTGCTGTTCTATTATCTTTGGTGAATATGTATTTATCTATAGAGAAGAATAGCTTCTACTGGTATGCTCTACT